TTCCAAAGAAGTTATACAAATGACCAACAAACACATGAAAAGTTGTTTAACAGCACTGAAAAATACAAAATCCTATATAATAAAGAGGTAATATGCAAATTGACCCTCACTCTGTCATGCTGTCACAAGAAGGCTGCGCCCACAGCAGAGGCGGGGTTCCCATAATGAGACGTAACAAGGGATCAGAAGGGACCTGAGGCTGTGTGGCACCAGGCCAGGGCGGGGGACCTGAGGCTGCGCCCCCCCATCCAGTGGGGCTTGATGGGGGACCTCAGGCCACACCCCCCTACCCAGCAGGGCTTGAGGCAACCTCAGGCCGTGCCCCTGCCTGGCAGGGATTGACAGGGGGGACCTCAGGCCACGCCCCCCCCACCCCAGGCCAGGGGACCTGAGGCAGCACTCCTCGCCCAGCATCAGGCCGGGGGATCGAGGCTGTGCCCCCCACCTAATGGGGCTTGACAGGGGACCTGAGGCTGTGCTCCCCACCCATCAGGGCTTGACGGGGGACTTGAGGCTGTGCCTCCGGCCCAGCACCAAGCCAGGGGACCCAAGGCTGCACCCCAAGTGGGGCTTGACAGGGGTTGGGCCAGCTAGGTCTGGATCTCGCCTAATGGGGGTGGGGCCGGCCGGTTCTGGGTCTCGCGTGATTTCGAGGTGCACATGGTGGGCGGGGATTTGACTCTGGGTCCTGCGGTGTGCCCAAACTCTGACAGGAGGAAGATTTTCATAAACATTTTACTAATTTTCTTTCATCTCTGACATTTCTATTACAGAGAAAGGGCAAACAGCAATATTAAAACATTTCCTCTAATTAATTCCCTTTTAATGTGCATGGATTTTGTGCACCGTGGGGCCACTAGTAAAACCATAAGGAGATATCACTTTCTACCTGCTATGCTGGCCATCATCAAGAAAACAGAAACTAACAAGGGTTGGTGAAGATGTGGAGAAATTGGAACCTTCATTCATGGATGGTAGGACTATAAAATAGTGCAGCAACTATGCAAAGTTTGGTACTTTCTCAAAAAGTTAAACAGAATTACCATATGAGCCAGCAATTCCACTCCTAGGTATAGGCCCAGGAGAATTGAAAACAGGTGTTCTAAAATGACTGATAACTGCATACCTCTGTGCTTATACTAAACTAGAGGCCCGTTGCACGAAGATTTGTGCAATAGGCCTTCCTTCCTCTGGCTGCCAGCACCGGTTTTCCTCCGGCACCCGGGACCCAGGCCTTTGGTCCAGCCGCAGCGGCGAGGCTTGGCTTCTCTGCTGGATGCTTGGCTTCTCCACTCCGGCCGCAACAGTGAGGCTTGGCTTCTCGGACCGCAGCAGCGAGGCTTGGCTTCTCCGCTCCAACCGCAGCGAGGCTTGGCTCCTCCGCTCTGGCTGCAGCAGAGAAGCCAAGCCTCTTCAGTCTTCAGTTGTCTTCAGTCTTCGCTTCGTGCCTGCATATGCAAATCAATTGCCACCTTTGTTGGGTAATTTGCATACTCATCCTGATTGGCTTGTGGGCATAGCAGAGTGACACCAATTTGAATGTTTCTCTTTTATTAGTGTAGATACCATTGAATCATTCACTTTAAATGTGTGACTTGTACGTTACATGAATAATATCTCAATATAACTGATATACACACATATGCATACACAAACATACAAGGTGTCCCCCAAATGTATACACACTTATTATATACTAGAGGCCCGGTGCACAAAAATTTGTGCACTCAGGGGAGCGGAGGGTCCCTCAGCCCGGCTTGTGCCCTCTCGCAGTCTGGGACCCCTCAGGAGATAATGACCTGCTGGCTTAGGCCTGCTCCCGGGTGGCAGAGGGCAGGCCCAATCCCTAGGTGCAGCCCCTGGTTGGGCTGAGAGCAGGGCCGATTGGGAAGTTGGGGTGCCGCCCCCTGTCATGCACAGAGCAGGGCGGATCAGGAGGTTGCGATGTCACCCTCAGTCACGCTCAGGGTAGGGCCGATTGGGGGGTTGGGGCACCGACCCTTGTCACACTCAAGGCAGGGTCGATGGGCAGGTTGCAGTGCCACCCCCTGTCACGCACAGAGCAGGAACAATCAGGGGGTTGGGGCGCTGCCCCCTGTCATGCACAGAGCAGGGCCCATCAGGGGGGTTGGGGCTCTGTACCCTATCACGCACAGAGCAGGGCCCTTAAGGGTTTGGGGAGCTCCCCCCTGTCATGCACAGAGCAGGGCCCATCAGGGGGTTGAGGAGCTCCCCCCTGTCACTCACAGAGTAGGGCCGATAGGGGAGTTGGGGCACCGCCCCCTGTCACACACAGAACAGGGCGGATCAGGGGTTTGGGGCGCCCTGTATCACCTACAGAGCAGGGCCGATCAGGGGGTTGGGGCGCCACCATGTCACACTCAGGGCAGGGCCAATGGGGAGGTTGTGGCTCTACCCCATCACACACAGAGCAGGGCCCGTGGGGTGGGGGTTGGGGCGCCGCCCTCTATCACCCACAGAGCAGCACCAATCAGGGGGTTGGGGCGCCGCCACTCTCACAATCAGGGCAGGGCCGATGGGGAGGATATGGCTCTACCCCGTCACACACAGAGCAGGGCTGTTCAGGGGGTTGGGGCGCTGCCCCCTGTCACACACAGAGCAGGGCCTATCAGGGGGTTGGGGCGCTGCACCCTGTCACACACAGAGCCGCAGGGCAATCAGGGGGTTTGGGAGCTCCCCCCATCAGGCACAGAACAGGGCTGATCAGGGGGTTGGGGCACCTTCCCCTGTCACAAAAAGAGCAGGGCAAATAGGGAGGTTGTGGCCCCGCCCCCTGTCACACACTGAGCTGCAGGGCGATCAGGGGGTTTGGTCGCTGCCCCCTGTCACACTGATCCTGGTGCCGGGAGGCATATTACTCTTTTACTATATAGGATAGAGGCCTGGTGCATGGGTGGGGGCCAGCTGGTTTGCCCTGAAGGGTGTCCTGGATCAGGGTGGGGGTCCCCACTGGGGTGCCTGGCCAGCCTGGGTGAGGGGATGATGGCTGTTTGCAGCTGGTCACATACTCTTCAGGGTGGGGGCCCCCACTGGTGTGCCTGGCCAGTCTGGGTGAGGGGCTGAGGGCTGTTTTCAGGCTGGCGGGTGACTGAAGATCCCAACCACTCCTTTTTTTCTTTTTTATTCTGGGCTAGCTTTAGCTCTGAGGCTGCAGCTCTTAGGCCTCCGCTGCTGAAAGCAGGTTTCTGGCCTTTGTTTACCTTCTGTATTTGAAACAATGTTGCGATCCTGCTGGCTGAAGCCCAGCAACTAAAGCAGGTTTCTGGGGTTTTGTTTAGCTTCTATATTTGTAACATAGTTGCTTAGAGTTGCAGCTCAGAGGCCGGCAGCGGCAGGCGGGGAACGTTGGAGTCCTCCGTCACTGAAGCAAGCAAGCCTCATGTTCGCTTTAAGCTGCCTGGCTGCCAGCCGCCATCTTGGCTGGCAGTTAATTTGCATATTGCCCTGATTAGCCAATGGGAAGGATAGCGGTTGTATGCTAATTACCATATTTCTCTTTTATTAGATAGGATTATTAATTCAAATGGGTTAAATTTGAAAAGAAAGAAACATCAATTGAGCTATCAGCTGTTAAAGTGTGTATACATTTTTAGGGACATCGCTGTATATGAAATGAGGTACTAATATGCTATAACATAAATGAACCTTGAAAACATTATGTTATGTAAAAACAGCCAGTCACAACAGACCACATATTATATTATTCCATTTATAATATATGAAATGTCCAGAATAGGAAAAATATATAGAGATAAAATATACATTAATGGTTGCCCAGGGCTTGTCGGAATGGAGGATTAAGATGGTCATAGCTAAAGGTTACAGGGCTGTTGTTTTTTTTGAGGTAATGAAAATATTCTAAAAGTGATTGGGGTGATGGTTCCACAACTCTGTGTATATATTAAAAACCATTGAATTATATACTTTAATGTGAATTAACATCACAAGAAAGCTGTTTTCTATGAAAAATTAAAACAGTTCACTAGAAGAGAAGAGCAATAATACCTGGAACCCTTGTGTGCCAGTATTTACCTGCTCTAGTCAACTAGAGGACAGGCCATGTAATCCACATGGACAGCATAGGATCTACTGGCTGAATATGCATGATCTGTGTACTCCATGGTTTACTGTGAACTTGCTTATGAAGAATGGCAATGCAAGTTTCTACAGACTGAACCCACCTTTGCCACTCTGGCTTTCCCTCACAGAAACTCTTGCAGCTTTATATTTCCAATGGTCACTGATAATTTGCTGAGGAAAATGACAGTGCTTTTTCTCTATTTCCCTGCTTCCAAGATGCTAAAGATTCTTCCTCAGGAAATATTCTAGTGTCCTGATATAACATTTGACAGGAAATGAACCAGCCCTCTTCAGAGCAAAGGACGAGTCCCAAAATTACACTATCAGAGATGTGCAAAAGTTTCAGTTATAAGAGTTGTAAAGAAAATGAAACGAGGAACAACAGTACTATCAAATGGGACATAGCCATAGCACAGCAGGAAGGAAAATTATTATGTAGACCTTCATAATTCTCTTTTCCAGTTGTGTATTTTGAAAAGAAAATAAGAAAAAGTTATTCTCTACCTTATTCTGTAGGAAATGAGGATGATTCATCCTTCATGAGTTTTCACTCCAACTTAACATTTCTCTTATTGTTTTTTTCTCCAATTACTTTTAGAGAAGGCCATCTACGTATTTAAACAACATTAAAATTCTAAAGTCCCACAGTGCCCAGTTGGCATGGATTAGTGGTTGAGCATCGACCTATGAACCAGGAGATCACACCCCGATTCCCGGTCAGGACATATGCCCGGATTGCAGTCTCAACCACTGGGGTCATGCAGGAGGCAGCCAATCAATGATTCTCTCTCATCATTGATGTTTCTATCTGTCTCTCCCTGAAATCAATTAAAAATTTAAAAATAAATAAAGTCCCATGGTTTTATTTCAGGCACTTTATTATCTTACTGGTTCCAGGCCTTGGCTACTTACTTAGTCCCTTCTCTGACCCAATTACATGCAATTAACTTTCTACATTGTATCATGCAAACTCCCCGAGTAAAATCATTCAATGTGAGAATGGTACTTTGTATGGTAAAGTGATGAAGGCAAGCAATACAGTTGGTCATGTTTTGTTTGTGGAGAAATGGATATTTTCTGAAAGTCATTGCCTGTTAATATATGTGGAAAGTCACTCTGAATTGTCAAAAGATATATTTCCCCTGTACTCACCTTCCTGTTATCCTCAAAGTATATTTGGCACCCATCTGCTACTCCATTTATATCTAGATTTTTGTCTCAGAGCAGCTACAGCAATGAAGATTCAAATCACAGGCATGAGGTCCACACCAGCATGAACTAGAAATGACAATGTAAAATAGTCAGTTCCTACAGAAAGATTAGACTTTGCTTGAGATCACAAGTCCCAAGTGGCCAACCATAAATAAAGGTTCCAAGTTCTGAGACTCAGAAATAGCATTCTCTTTGAGAAAACATCCAGCTTTCGACTGAGTTGGGAGTTAATTTCCTATAATCATAGCCAAGAGATTAAAGAAGGCACAGTGAAACTGATGACATCAGATGTCAGAGTCCTCTTATTCAGACATGTTAAAAGAATCCTCTTATTTCTGTTTTGCAGGAGGACCCTTAGAGCAGCCAATTGAGGCTCTCTGGTTTGATAAAAATCATGGAAAGAGTCTTATGAAAACTCATAAGTTTTAATAGGGATTTTAGCAGCTTATTTTGGTTGCAGTTTCCAATCTTTAAAAATGTTTAGGTAAACTTCTCCACCTTCCCCAAATCCTAATTCTTGTAGACTTACTAGTGTTGAACCAATGCTTTCTCATGTCTCAGTTTTTTGTATATGCATTCTTTTCAGATGTATCAAACAAACAAAAAAACAAGTCCCCTTATTGAAATGTGTAGATAAATACAGTGGGGCCTTGACTTACGAGTTTAATTCATTCCGTTACGGAGCTCGCAACTCAAATTACTCGTATGTCAAATCAATAGTGAACGAGTGAGACACGTGATGCTGGGCTGATGTTGTGGTGTTCACTGTGATGTTCGCTGCGCCAACTAGCGGTGGGGTATCTGAAGCTGGTTCATAACCCGAATTTTAGCTCACAACTCAAAGCAAAAAAACGGCCGAGAGATGGCTCGTATCTCGAAAAACTCGTTAGCTGGGACACTCGTAAGTCAAGGCCCCACTGTATACTCTAGACCAGTGGTTCTCAACCATCTGGCCCTTTAAATACAGTTCCTCATGTTGTGGCCCAACCATAAAATTATTTTCGTTGTTACTTCATAATTGTAATGTTGCTACTGTTATGAATCTTAATGTAAATATCTGATATGCAGGATGGTCTTAGGCGACCCCTGTGAAAGGGTCGTTCGACCGCCAAAGGGGTCGTAACCCACAGGTTGAGAACCGCTGCTCTAGACCTATTAGAGAGTCTTCATCTTCCTCCTCATCTTCAATAAGCAGATACTTAGTACTGTCGTGACTGGGGTACGTACATGTTCTTTAGGGACTGTGGTCAGCAAACTGCAGCTCGCGAGCCACATGCGGCTCTTTGGCCCCTTGAGTGTGGCTCTTCCACAATATACCATGTGCGGGCATGCATGTATGGTGCAATTGAAACTTCGTTGCCCATGCGCAGAAGTCGGTATTTTGTGGAAGAGCCACACTCAAGGGGCCAAAGAGCCGCATATGGCTCACAAGCCTCAGTTTGCCGACCACTGCTTTAGGGAGAACACAACATTAATACAATTATTTAAAAGATACAAAACCATACACATATCAAAGGCCAGTTCGTTCTAGGGAATAATTGAATGGTAGTGTTCAAAAGACAGTAGACAGGGAGGTATTAGCACTCCTTAAATTATTCCAAGTGGAGTTTTGAAAGTTATTTGTTTGAATGATGGGCTAGTGAAGGAAATTATGAAAAAAACATGTCAGGCATGGGAGTCATGGGAGAAGGCTCACAGGTATAAAAAAAGTGGTAATCTAATAGGAGGCACTGACACTCAGGAGGGAGATTTTAGATTTCATCCAGGAAATAGGAGGGGCCTTTAGGAGGAGAATCACATGATCAAAAGGAAGACAATATCTTCTTAAAGGAATCACTTTTAGGATGTGAGGACAATCTGGCTGCAACATCTGTCACCCCATTGACCGCCAGGGTTGATTCGGCTGATCTGGCTGGCTAGGCGGGTGTCCCCCTCCTCCCTCACCGATCCATGTGCTCCCTCCCGAAGCTGCGCGCTTGGTCGAAGAGGACGACCTTCCCCCATGAGGAGAGGACCGGTCTTCGGTCAAGGGTATACGAGTAGCTGCGCTCCCCTGCTAGAACCTCCAAACAAATTCTCAAGGAATCACTTTTAAGAGCTCACCTGACAAGAGGATACTAAATTTTCTAGGAGGGAAATACAGAATTTCTATTCTATTAACAAAAAGAGATTTGGTGCTCAGTGCACATTAATATGAATATATAATATACAAACAACACAATGTTCTCACCTTCCAGGGAGTGGAGCTTTATCGTCCTCCCTTGATAAAAACTCAAGAGTGACTTGTATGCATATATGCATAATCCAGGGACACAGACAATAGGGTGGTGAAGGACTGGGGCACAGGGAGGCAGGGGCAGGCTAGAGGAGTCAATGGGGGGAAAAGGGATATATGTAATACTTTCAACAATAAAGATTTTTTTAAAAGCATACAGACAGATAATGGGAAAAAAACCCTCAAGAGTGGACTTAACCTGAACAGGAGTCTGGGGAAGAGGCAGCTACTTCAAGCCAATGGTCTTAAAACCGTCACCTTCACAGAGACCCACTAGTGTTTGTACAGCATGGGTCAGCTTCTTGGTGATGATCTCAAAGGAAAATATGCACTGGGTAAAATCAAAATTATTCCTAGGGAAAGAAATATAATAAGAGGTAAAATGAATAATACAGGCATCACACAAAAAAAGCAAGGGCTCACAGTTGTTCATGACATGACAGCAGCTAGTTCAGACAAGTAAACAATTGAAACTAATAATAGCTAACATTATGAATGCTTACTGTGTGGCAGATGCTGTGCAAAGCATGTGTTCTTTATCATTTAATCACCATCCCAACAGCCTCATGAGGTTATTATACTCATTACTAGTGGCCTGTTGCACGAAGCTTCACACAATAGGCCTTCCTTCCCCTGGCTGCCGGCACTGGTTTTCCTCCAGCACCTGGGACCCAGGCCTTTGGTCCGGCTGCAGCAGCGAGGCTTAGCTTCTCTGCTCTGGCTGCTCCCAGCCCCTCCTTTTTTCCCCCAGCTCCTCAAGTGGAGCCCAGGGCGGGCTGGAAGCCTGAGTTGCCCCTGTGACCCAGGCCCCCAGTCCCTCCTTGAGCAGAGCCCAGGGCAGGCTGGAGGCCTGGGTCACCCCCCGTGACCCAGGCCCCCAGCCCCTCCTTGAGCGGAGTACAGGGCCGGTGGGAAGCTTAGCTTCCTCCATTGCCGGGAGCAACCCAAGCCTCCTGCTCACTCCAGCTCCATGGCCACCGCCATCTTCGGTTGTCTTCAGTCTTCGCTCTGCGCCTGCATATACAAATTAATCGCCATCTTTGTTGGGTTAATTTGCATAGTTGCTCTGATTGGCTGGTGTGTGTAGCAGAGTGGCAGAGTGATGGAGTGATGGTTAATTTGCATGTTTCTCTTTTATTAGTGTAGATAACTGAATAAATTGAGGTTCACAAAAACACAGCTAGAAAGTGATAGAGCTGGCACTGAAACCCACAGTACCTGACTCTTAGTTTGTGCTCTTAAATTGCCACCAAATGTATAATAAACTATCATTCAGGAGAGAATCAGATTATGATTCTTCCAGCTTTGTGCTTCTTTTTACCTGTTAACCACTTCCTACACACCCCGCCAAATGGGTTTAATTGGTGCTACTATAATCTACTAGATCAGCCGTGGGCAAACTACGGCCCGTTTGAAATGAATAAAACTAAAAAAAAAAGACCGTACCCTTTTATGTAATGATGTTTACTTTGAATTTATATTAGTTCACACAAACACTCCATCCATGCTTTTGTTCCGTCCCTCCAGTCCAGTTTAAGAACCCATTGTGGCCCTCGAGTCAAAAAGTTTGCCCACCCCTGTACTAGATCTTTCATATTCTGGAAGACATTTTGATTTACAAAAAGGAACCAGGGTTCTTTGGAGAAATGGCTGATTCTGAGATGGCTGTGCCAGGGAATATCCAAAATGAGCATCCCATGGTGCCAGAAAGTAAGAAAGTACTCAAAAATGAAAACAATGGGGACATGCCAAAGGGACATAGGAACCTAAGTGAAATAGCTTCCAAAGGACAAAACTGTAACAATTTGAGAAACCAAATCATTCTTCCTTTTAGAAGAATGCTAAATAACTTGTGTAGATTCTCACCTTCTAGGAAGCAGAGCTTTATCTTCAACTCTTCTTCAGTGTGGGCTGGACTTAGTGACTTCCTTCTAAAAAATATAAAAAATAGAGTATAGACAGTAGGGAATGTGACTTTACCTGACAAATACTACTGTGGCCAAATGATCAAGGCCTTCATATGATACTACAGGTCTAGTACACGAAATTTGTGCACGGTGGGGGGGAGGTCCTTCAGCCCAGCCTACACCCTCTCACAATCCAGGACCCTTTGGGGGATGTCCGACTGGGATCAGGCCTAAACCAGCAATCGGACATCCCTCTCGCAATCCAGGACCACTGGCTCTTAACCACTTGTCTGCCTGCCTGATCACCCCTAACCACTTGCCTGCCTGCCTGATGCCCCAAACTGCTCATCTGCCTGCCTGATCGCCCCTTACTGCTCGCCTGCCTGCCTGATCACCCCTAACCACTCACCTGCCTGCTTGGTCACCCCTAACCACTCTGTCTGCCTGATCGCCCCTAACCTCTCGCCTGACTGCCTGATCGCCCCTAACTGCCTCTGCCTGCCTGCCCCATTGCCCCTAACTGCTCGTCTGCTGCCTGATTGCCCCTAATCACTCTGCCTGCTTGCCTGATGACCCCTAACCACTCGCCTGCCTGCCTCATTGCCCATAACCAATCTGCCTGCCTGCTTGATCACCCCTAACTGCTCGCCTGCTTGCCTGACTGCCCCTGCTTCTGCCTTGGTCCCCACCACCACGGCTTCATCTGGAAGGATGTCTGGAATGACATCCGGAAGGTCGTTCAGCTGTCTGGTCTAATTAGCATATTATGCTTTTATTATTAGAGACTAGAGGCCCGGTGCACACAAATCTGTGCACTGGAGGGGGGGGGGTGTCCCTCAGCCCCACTTGTGCCCTCTCACAGTCTGGGACCCCTCAGGAGATAACGACCTGCTGACTTAGGCCCGCTCCCGGGTGGCAGAGGGCAGGCCCAAACCCTAGGTGCCTGCCCTGCAGCCCATAGTCGGGCTCAGAGCAGGGCCGATTGGGAAGTTGGGGCGCCACCCCCTGTCATGCACAGAGCAGGGCGGATAGGGAGGTTGCAATGTCACCCCCAGTCATGCTCAGGGTAGGGCCGATTGGGGGGCTGGGGCACCACCCCCTGTCACACTCAAGGCAGGGTCAATGGGGAGGTTGTGGCGCCACCCCCTGTCATGCACAGAGCAGGGCGGGTCAGGGGGTTGTGGTGCCACCCCTGTCACATACAGAGCCGGTCAATCAGGGGGTTGGGGCGCTGCCCCCTGTCACGCACAGAGCAGGGCCCATCAGGGGGGTTGGGGCTCCGTACCCTGTCACACACAGAGCAGGGCCAATCAGGGGGTTGGGGAGCTCCCCCCTGTCACGCACAGAGCAGGGCCCATCAGGAGGGTTGGGGCTGTGTACCCTGTCACATACAGAGCAGGGCCGATCAGGGGGTTGGGGAGCTCCCCCTATCAGGCACAAAGCAGGGCCAATCAGGGGGTTGGGGCACTCCCCCGTCACACTCAGGGCAGGGCGGATGGGGAGGTTGCAGCTCCACCTCGTCACACACAGAGCAGGGCCCATGGGGGGGGGGAGTTAGGGCGCCGTACCCTGTCACACACAGAGGAGGGCTGATCAGGGGGTTGGGGAGCTCCCCCCTATCAGGCACAGAGCAGGGCTGATCAGGGGGTTGGGGCGCCTTCCCCTGTCACGAACAGAGCAGGGCAGATAGGGAGGTTGTGGCCCCTCCCCCTGTCACACACAGAGCCACAGGGCGATCAGGGGGTTTGGGCACTGCGCCCTGTCACACTGCTCCAGGGGCCAGGAGGCCTCACGGCTCCACTGATCCCAATGCTGGGAGGCCTCGTGGCTCCGCTTGACACCGGGGCAGTGAGGCCTCGCTGCTCCTCTGATCCCGGTGCTGGGAGGCCTCGCTGCTTCGCCTATCCCGGTGCTGGGAGGCCTCGCAGCTCCGCTTGACACAGGGGCAGTGAGGCCTCGCTGCTCCTCTGATCCCGGTGCTGGGAGGCCTCACTGCTCCACTGATCCCAGTGCCGGGAGGCCTCCTGGCTCTGCTGTTCCCGGGTTTGGGAGGCCTCACGGCTCCGCTGATCCCAGTGCTGGGAGGCATATTACCCTTTTACTATATAGGATAGAGGCCTGGTGCACAGGTGGGGGCCGGCTGGTTTGCCCTGAAGGGTGTCCTGGATCAGGGTGGGGTCCCGCTTGGGTGCCTGGCCAGCCTGGATGAGGGGATGATGGCTGTTTGCAGCTGGTCGCACCCCTTTCAGGGTGGGGGTCCCCACTGGGGTGCCTGGCCAGTCTGGGTTAGGGGCTGAGGGCCGTTTTCAGGCTGGCGGGTGACTGAAGCTCCCAACCTCTCCTTTTTTTCTTTTTTCCTTTTTTTCTGGGATTTATTTACCTTCTATAGCTGTCACTGGAGCTGAGAGCTGGCTCCAGCTTTGAGGCTGCAGCTACCTGAAAGCAGATATCTGGGTTTGTTTACCTTCTATAATTGAAACATTGTTGCCATCACTGCCGCTCTAAGCTCTGAGGCCGAAGCTGGCTGAAAGCAGGTTTCTGGAGCTTGTTTAGCTTCTATAATTGCAACATTGTTTCTTAGAGTGCAAGCTCAGAGGCCGGCAGCGGCAGGCGGGGAACATTGGCTTCCTCTGTCACTGGAGCAAGCAAGCCTCCTGTTTGCTTCAGCTGCCTGGCTGCTGGCTGCCATCTTGGTTGGCAGTTAATTTGCATATCTCCCTGATTAGCCAATGGGAAGGGTAGCGAAGTTATGGTTAATTACCATGTTTCTCTATTATTAGATAGGATGATGAGAATGAGATTTTATCTGTGTGGTCTTCCCAAACACCCATAACCCCAGTCTAATCATGAGAAAAGCATAAGACACATCCCAATTGAGGCACAATCTACAAAATACCTCAGTCATTCTCCTCAATACTGTCAAGGTCATCAAAACAAAGAAATTCTGAGAAACTGTCATGGTCAACTGCACCCAAAGGAGATTTGACAACAATGTAATGTGGTATGCCAGATGGGATCCTAGAACAGAAAACTACACTAGGCAAAAACTAAGAATATCTGAATAAAATATGGACTTTAGTTAATAATAATAATAATAATAATAATCAGTTTTCGTTCATTAATTGTGATAAATGAACCATACTAATCTAGCATGTTGATTAGAAAGATAACTGTGTGCAAGGCAGGGGGTGGGTGTATATGAGAACTCTCTGTACTATTTTTGTAACTTTTTGGTAAATCTAAAATTATTCTAAAATACAAAGTTTATTTTAAATAATAACAGAACTTGGAAGAAGAAATAGAGTTAAATCCCAGTTTTGATTCTTATTAACTGTGTGATCTATGCAAGTCACTTTCTGAGCTTTGGTATCCTTGTTTATAAAATAGACTAGAGGCCCAGTGCATGAAATTCATGCACTGGGGGTGGGGGTGGGGGCGAGGAGTGTCCCATCAGCCCAGCCTGCGCCCCCTCCCGGTATGGGAGCCCTTGGAAGAGGGTCCCACCACCGCCAGCTGTGAGCCCCGCTCAGGGCTTTTGGCTGAGCGGTGCTCCCCCTGTGGGAGCACACTGACCACCAGGGGGCAGCTCCTATGTTGAGCGCTGCCCCATGGTGGTCAGTGCATGTCATAGCAACCGGTTGTTCCGCAGTTTGGTCAATTTGCATATTAGCCTTTTATTATATAGGATAGAATATTACCTTTTTAAGTGACATCTGCAACTTGGCAGACTAGGAAGCTGCAGCCTCTCCTCCTGCTACCAATATTAACATTTTCATAAGCAAGTAGGGAGTGGCTAAAATGACTTTATAGGAGCTCTGAAAAACAGTCTACAGCAACCAAACAAATGCTTAATAAAGAAAAAATCTACATATAAAAATGGCAGGAAATACCATAGTTTTTACATACCCGTACTCCACCCCTCCTTCTCCCACAGTGTCCACAGCACCATTTAGGGCAAGAAGTGGCCCAGCTGCCAATGTCATCCCTCTAATTGGAGAAAGGAAGGTGGACCTATTTTGCAATGTTCTAATCTGCCTGGGGCAGTGGTTGGCAAACTGCGGCTCACGAGCCACATACGACTCTTTGGCCCCTTGAGTGTGGCTCTTCCACAAAATACCACAAAATACCACGTGTGGGCGCGCATGTACAGTGAGATTGAAATTTCATGGCCTATGCACAAAAGTCGGTATTTTGTGGAAGAGCCACACTCAAGGGGCCAAAGAGCCACATGTGGCTTGCGAGCCGCAGTTTGCCAACCACTGGCCTGGGGGCTACCTGAGGTACTGATCTCTGTTTTACGTAACTTGGAGTTCAGACAGAGAAAAGTGGCATAGCTTGGATGTCAGGCTAGGAAAAGCCACAGGAAATGATGGACATTGCTATGAAAGCTGCAGAAGTACCACAGCTTCACAACACCTGGGGCAGATATTAGATGAGAAGACACAATAGAACATCAAAACTCCCCAGAAAAAAAGCAAAGGTGAAACTCTTTAGGAAACTAGGACACTTCTTAAAATGTTTACTTAGAGAAATTGGAAAAAGCACACAACAGGCTCATACAAGATGTATGCCTAGAAAAGGTCTAAGAAGACTTTAAGCCGCCACATAAGGCTTATCACGAGGCACACAACTATCCTTGTTAATTAGTGTTTTCCTCAGCACAGAGCCTATCTGAAAACTGTTTTTTAATGTCAAATTTTCAACAAACAAACAAACATCACAAAGCATACAAGGAAACAAGAAAATATGCCACATTCAAAGGAAGAAAGTAAAGTGGCAGAAACTGTCCCTGAAAAAAATCAGAATTATGAGACAAAGACTAAAAAAACTGACTTAAATATGCTCTGAGCCAAAGGAAAACACAAAAAACTAAAAGAATAAGGAAAATAGTGTATTTTAAAAAGTAGAATAACATCAAAGAGATAAAAATATAAAAAGGAACCAAACAGAAATTCTGGAGTTGAAAATATAATAATTGAATTGAAATGTTCACTAAAGGGGTTCAACAGTAGACGCAAACAGGAAGAATCAGTGAAGTTTAAGACAGATCATTTGAAATTATGGAGCCTCAGGAGCAAGAGACACACACAATAGAATGAAGAAAAAAGTGGACAAGAGATTAAGAAAGTTATGGAACATCATCAAGCAATATATGCATTATGAGAGTTCCAGAAGGTTAAAAAAGAAAGGAAGGAGAAAGGGGCAAAGAGGTTATTTGAAAGCTTCCCAAATTTGAAAAAAACCATGGATATACAAGTCCAAGAATCATAATGAACTCTAAGTAAGATAAACCCAAAGAGGCCTACATCAAGATGCATTATAATCAGACGCTCAACAACCAAAGTGAGAATCTTGAAAGAAGCAAGAAAAAAGCAACTCTTTATGTACAAAGATCCTCAATAAAATTATCAGCAAATTTCTCAGAGGAAGTCTCAAAAACCAGAAGGAATGAGATAATCTATCTATCCTATATAATAAAGAGGGAATATGCAAATTGACTGTCACTCTGCCACAAAGATGGCGGCACCCACAGCTGAGGAAAAGTTCCCATAACGAGCTTTAATGAGCAATCAGCAGGGACCTGAGACTGCGCCCCCCCACCCCCCCATGGGGCTTGAAGGGGACTTCAGGCCACTACCCATGCCCTGGTGCCAGGCTGGGGGACCTCAGGCCACAACCCCTGCCCCAGTGGGGCTTAACAGGAGACCTCAGGCTGCGCCCCCCACCTCAGGCTGTGCCGCCCACCCCAGCGCCAGGCCAGGGAACCTCAGGCCGCTCCACCCACCTGGCGGGGCTTGGCGGGGGACCTCAGGTCGTGCCCCTCACCCTGGCACTGGTCCAGGGGACCTGAGGCTGCAACCCCGCCCCGGCGCTGGGCCAGGGTACTGGAGGCTGCGCCCCCTGCCTGGAGGGGCTTGACAAGGGACCTCAAGGTGCACCCCCCCACCCAGGTCCTGTCTGGAGGACCTCAGGCCGCGCCCCCAACCCCAGTGCCGGGCCAGGGGACCTCAGGCCGCACCCCCTGCACAGCAGGGCTTGACGGGGGACCTCAGGTTGTGCCCCCGCCCAGAGCTGGGCCAGGGGACCTAAGGCTGTGACCCACCAAGTGGGGCTTGACAAGGGTGGGACCAGCCGGGTCTGGATCTAGCCCAATGTGTGGGGGGGTGGCCGGGTCTAAGTCTCATGCGATTTTGAGGTGCATGTGGGTGGGTGGGGACTTGATTCTGGGTCCCACAACACACCCCAGACTCTGACAGGAGGAAGATTTTCATATACATTTTACTAACTTTCATCTCTGACACTTCTATTATAGAGAAAGGGCAAATAGCAATATTAAAATATTTCCTATAATTAATCCCCTTTTAATGTGCACGAATTTCGTACACTGGGTTACTAGTATATATATAAAGCCTAAGCGACCGAACAACCGGTCGACTGGTCCATATGACATGCACTGACCACCAGGGTGCAGATGCTCAATGCAGAAGCTAGACCCTAGTGGTCAGTGTGCTCCCACAGCAGTAGCGCCACTCAGCTTATCAACCCGTCCCAGTGTCCCACCAGCCCAGCTGCAGCCACTCACTCCCTCAGTGGTCCTGCAGGTCCAATCTCTGGAGAATGGGGCAGGCACCAATGGACCGGTGCCATTGGCATGATCCCAACAGCGCCGCTGGTCTCCTGGAAGTCGGTCTCAGGAACTGCAGCCGCTTCCCCTCCCTAGACACTCTGCAAGGAAGAAACAATATAAAAGCAGCTGCCAGGTAGCTCCCAACAACCGGTGTGGACATCAGTGGGACAGATCCAGCAAGGGCATCCCACTGCCCGCCCGCCCGAAGGGCCAATTGCATCCCACCCCCGCCCCTACCTGCCTTGGGACAGGTGCCAGACACAGGGCTTATGGCTGGCAAGCGCCGCTGTGGTGGCATGAGCCTCTCCCAATTGAGACTGACTGGGTGCGAGCCCACAGCAGACACAGCTGGGGCCGGGATGAGTAGGAGCAGCAGGCAGGAGTGGCAAGCGGCATTGGACTGCCAGTTTTGGCCCGATCCCCACAGGCCACCCCGAGGGACCCCACCCATGCACGAATTTGTGCACCAGGCCTCTAGTATATTTATCGGGCTGAAAGAAAAATAATGTCAACTGAGAATTCTACTGGTATATCTGGCAAAACTGTCCTTCAAAAAAATGAAGGTGAAATTGAAACATTCTCAGATAAACAATATTTAACATCACAAAGGAGATTTCAGCCACAGCAATTATGTAAAAAAAAATAAAGGTATCCAAATTGAAATGGAAGAGTTAAAATTACTTCTGTATACAGATGATATGATCTCATATGTAGAATACCCTAATATTTATCCCCAAACCCACTAGAACTAATTAATAAATGAATTCCGCAAAATTGTGGGATACAAAATCAACACACAAGAATTGGTTGCATTTCTATATACTAACAATGAACAATGTGTAAAGGAAATTAAGAAAACAATTATATTTATAACTAGAGGCCTGGTGTGCCGTAAACCAATTCCAGCATGTCATAATTTCAAGAGTTTCATCAAAAGGTTGATGAAACTTGGGGACTCAACAGGGTTGAGTCACACATGTAGTCACCTATTGGGAATGGCTAAAGGCATTTCCCCAAACCTGAATAGGAAACTGCTTGTGGCTGCCAGACAGTTAAAGGGCGTCTTAATCTACATGTAATTGCCTCCTACTGGCCAAACACCTGAACAGCCGTAGGCTATTCCCCAAACTGACAATGCTTCTGTACCTTTGAAACCTTACCCTTCGACATGTATTATCTCTACCTTGCCTTAGGACAAAGTGTGTTAATAAAAGCAAGGGTCCTAGACAAGGAGGGAGTCTTCAGTTCCTTTAGCTGAAAGTCCTCTGACCCCCAATGCCTTTCAAAATTATATCTCGTCTCTGGACTCTTTAGTAGTCTCTGGATTCCTATGTCATCTACGCACAGCCTTTTCCAGATTCCTGAACCCTTCTTGATGCTGGAACATGAACCTCGGCACCGGTGCACAAAATTCATGCACGGGGGGAGGGGGTCCCTCAGCCCAGCCTGCACCTTCTCTAATCCAGGATATCCCTCTCGCAATCTGGGACCTCTGCCTCCTAACCGCTCACCTGCCTAACTGCCTGATCGCCCCTAAGCACCTCTGCCTGCCTGCCTGATTGCCCCTAAGCACCTCTGCCTGCTGACCTGATCGCCCTCTAACCGCCTCTGCCTGCCGGCCTGATCACCCCCTAACTGCTACCCTGCTGGCCTGATCGCCCCCTAACTGCTCCCCTACTGGCCTGATCACCCCCTAACTGCTCCCCCCTGCTGGCCTGATCGCCCCCTAACTGCTCCCCCCTGCTGGCCTGATCGCCCCCTAACTGCTCCCCTGCTGGCCTGATCACCCCCTAACTGCCTCTGCCTGCCGATCTGATCGCCCCCTAACTGCTCCCCCCCTGCCAGCTTGATCACCCCTAACTGCCTCTGCCACTGCCCCCGCCACTGTGGCTTTGTCCAGAAGATGTCCAGTCTAATTAGCATATTATCTTTTATTGGTATAGATAGAAACCAAAAGAATAAGCAAAGGCAACAAAAGCAAAAATAAACAAGTGGGACTACATCAAACCAAAAACCTTCTGCACAGCAAAACAAACAATCAAGAAAATGAAAAGGCAATCTATCAAATAGGAGAAAATATTTACAAATCATATATCTGATAAGGGTTTAATATCCAAAATATATAAATAACTCATACAACTCAATAACAAAAAAAACAAACAATATAATTAAAAATGAGCAAAGGATCTAAAAGGCATACAGATGACCAACAGATACTTGAAAAGGTGTTCAACATTACTAATCATCTGGGAAGTGCAAATCAAAACCAGAATGAGATATCACTTCACACCTATTAAATGGTTATTATAAAAAATACCAGAAATAACAAGCAGTTGGAAGGATGAGGAGAAAAGGGAACCCTCATTCAAGATGCTAGAAATGTAAATTGGTGCAGCCACTACAGAAATCAATATGGAGATTCCTCAAAAAATTAAAAACAGAACTACCATATGACTCAGCAATCCCACCTCTGCGTATTTATCCAAAGGAAACAAAAACACTAACTTGAAAAGATATATGTTCATTGCAGCATTATTTACAAGAGCCAAGATATGGAAGCAATCTAAGTGCCCATGGGTAGATGAGTGGATAAACAAAACGTAGTATACACATACAATGCAAAATTGTTCAGCCATAAAAAAAAATAATGAAATCTTATCATTTGTGACAACATGGATAGACCTTGAGGGCATTGTGCTAACTGAAATAAGTCAGACAGAGAAAGATAAATACTATATGATCTCATTTATATGTGGAATCTGAAGAAAAAAATTCATGCAGAGAACAAATTGGTGGTTACCAGAGGCAGGGAGTGGGGAGTGAATAAAATAAGTGAAGGTGGTCGCAGGTACAAACTTCAGTTCTAAAATAAGTAAGTCTTGGGAATGTAATGTACAACATGATGACTATAATAATAAAAGGGTAATATGCTAATTAGACTGGACATCCTTCCATACGAAGCCAGGGCCAGAGGGAAGCCTGGGTCCCGGGTGCCGGAAGGAAGCTGGTGCCAGCAGTTGGGGGAAGGAAGGCCTACTTTTGCACAAATTTTCATGCATCGGGTGTTTAGTAGTTAATAATACTGTATAGTATACTTAAAAGTTACTAAGAGAATTGATCTTAAAAGTTCTCATCACAGCCCTGGCTGGTTTGGCTCAGTGGATAGAGCACTGGCCTGTGGACTGAAGGGTCCCAGGTCCAATTCCAGTCAAGGGCACATGCCCGGGTTGTGGACTCAATCCCCAGTAGAGGCCATGCAGGAGGCAGCCCATCAATGAATCTCTCTCATCACTGATGTTTCTATCTCTCCCTCTCCCTCTCCTCTCTGAAATCAATAAAAAAAAAAATTTTTTTAAAGTTCTCATCACAAGAAAAAAAATTGTAATTATGTATGGTAATGGATGGTACTAAACTTATTGTGGTGATCATTTGCAATATATACAAATACCAAATTATTACTTTGTACACTTGAAACTAATATATGTCTATTTATCTATCCTAAAAAGAACAAAATACTCAGGAATAAAGTAAACCAAGGAGGACTATCTATCTAACTTATAATGAATAAAATACTCAGGAATACAGTAAACCAAGGAGGTGAAAGGCTTTTATACTGAAACTACAAAAGTTTGCTAAAAGAAACTAAGGAATACACAAATAAATGGAAGAACATCCCCTGTTTATGAGTTGGAAGGTTCAATATTGTTAGGATATCAGTACCACCAAAATGATCTAAAAATTCAAAGCAATCCCTATTAAAATCCTAATGAAATTTTTGCAGTAGAAAAATCCATCCTAAAATTCATATGAAATATCAAGTGATTCTGAATAGTCACACAATCTTGAAAAAGAACAAAGCTGGAGATCTCACATTTCCTGATTTCAAAACTTACTACAAAGCTACGATAATCAAAACGGTGTGATACTGTACCAAAGAAAGACATATAGATCAGTGGAACAGAAGAGAAAACCCAGAAATAAACCCTCATATATATGGTCAAAGGATTTTTGGTAAGCTTGCCAAAACCACTCAATAAGGGAAAAGACAGTCTTTTCAACAAACGATGCTGGGAAAACTGGATATCCACACACAATGGAAAGAAGTTGGACCTTTACCTTAAATCATATACAAAAATGAACTCATACTGGATCAAAGAACTAAATGTGAGAGCTAAACCTACAAAACTCAGAAGAAAACATAAGGGACAAGTTTCATAACACTGCATTTGACAAAAAATTTCTTTTTTTTCCATTTCATTTTTTAATTATTAAATCTTTATTGTTCAGATTATTACATTTGTTCCTCTTTTTCCCCCCATAACTCCCCTCCACCCAGTTCCCACCCCACCCTCCTCCCTCACTCCCCACCCACTGTCCTCATCCATAGGTGCACGATTTTTGTCCAGTCTCTTCCCCCATCTCCCTCACCCCTTTCCCCCCCAAGAATAGTCAGTCCACTCCCTTTCTATGCCCCTGATTCTATTGTAATCACCAGTTCATTCTTTTCATCAGATTATTCACTTGATTTTCAGATTCACTTGATAGATGTGTATTTGTTGTTCATAATTTGTATCTTTACCTTTTTCTTCTTCTTCCTCTTCTTAAAGGATACCTTTCAGCCTTTCATATAATACTGGTTTGGTGGTGATGAACTCCTTTAGCTTTTCCTGATCTGTGAAGCTCTTTATCTGACCTTCAATTCTGAATGATAGCTTTGCTGGATAAAGTAATCTTGGTTGTAGGTTCTTGGTATTCATCACTTTGAATATTTCTTGCCACTTCCTTCTGGCCTGCAAAGTTTCTGTTGAGAAATCAGCTGACAGTCATATGGGTATTCCCTTGTAGGTAACTGAGTTTCTTTCTCTTGCTGCTTTTAAGATTCTCTCTTTGTCTTTTGCTCTTGGCATTTTAATTATGATGTGTCTTGGTGTGGTCCTCTTTGGATTCCTTTTGTTTGGGGTTCTCTGTGCTTCCTGGACTTGTAGGTCTATTTCTTTCACCAGGTAGGGGAAGTTTTCTGTCATTATTTTCAAATAGATTTTCAATATCTTGCTCTCTCTCTTCTTCTGACACCCCTATAATTCGGATGTTGGTACGC